CACTTGCACTAGAACCTATGGATACTCTACTATTAATACTCGGGCTTATAAAAAAACGATTTTTATTTAAGGAAAGAGATACACCATTTTACCCACATTAACATTAACAGGCATAATTGCTATTGATGTTATTGAAAGAAGTTGTGACAAACAATGTTTTGAGAATTTCGTAATTAATGAGGTCGTAAGTATTGTATAAATAAAATATTTAAAATTAAAAATTGTAAAATTAAAAATACTAATTCGTATATTACTATTATTTTTAGCTTCCACAAATGCGAGTATATCCTGAAACGAACAGTGTTCTAGTTTTAGACAATGCCCAAATTCACAATAACAAGTTACTAATTGATACGGTTAATGCTATTGGTGCGCAAGTCTTATTTCTTTCACCATATTCTCCAGACTTTAACCCATCGAAACCGCATTTTCTTTTATAAAAAGCTATCTAAAAAGAAATCGTAATTTGGTACAAACAAGTGCAGATCCAGTCTATTTGATTTTAGCAGCTTGTGCTGAAATATCACCAGATAAAGCAAAAAAATTCTTTCAGCATTCAATATATTCATAAAATTAGATATCTGTGTGATGTAGATTCTTATTTAAAGGAAAAATGTAATACTGAGCTTGAATTGAGGCCAAAAGTTATTGTATTTGCTATTTTATTAAAGAGAGAGAATTTTTAATAAAGTTTAAATGTTAATTGTTTTACTGCTTCACCTGGTCTTCTAATTATTAGTTAGCTAAAACTGAATAGCAAAGCCTCTCGTAGATAATGTTCTAGTATCTATGTTTAAATTGCATCTACATTATTGTGAATCTTGATTAAAACTTTAAGTTAGCAATTAATAATTATTGAAATATAGTAAAAAAATGTAGAGTTTAAAACTTAGCCGAGCAAAGCAAGGCAAAACATAAAAAATATAAAACTCAAGCAAAGTCAAGAACTATAAAAAAAAATAGATAAAATACCACCTTAATATATATTTTTTTATTTCAATTATACATGTATTATCAAATTGTCTGTGTCTATTAATACCATATTCTGTTATATCTAATTATTAGTTGGCAGCAAAACTGGCACATGATCATGTACTAGTCTGTAAGATAATAAAGCGTGAAGTTTGAAATAAGACGAGCGAAGCGAGGCTGTTAGTCATGTAAAGTTGTTATCCAATTATAGATCAGTTGAAATGGGTGGCGAAGTCACCTGCATATGCAAGTTCTAGTTATTTAAAGGTATAAATCAAAGACTAAAGTTTAATAAAGAGTTTATATATAGCTATTTAAATAGTAAACATAAACAATAAAGCCACTATTTTGGTCTTGATACTAAAATAATACTAAAGAAAATATCATAAGTTAGTATAAATTAGAATGAAATAGTATGAAACAAGAAAAAAGTAGTATGAAATAAAAATAGAAAAAATCATGTGTTAATTATATGATCAGAACATCAATCAGTATCGATTCGATCACATGAAAAGGAAAGCAAAAAAACAATATACTTAATTTTTGATTATTTCTACATAGAGTGATTTATATACTTATGACATGTAAAATACAAAACCTAACTGAATTTTCCTTGAAATCTATTGTTGAATTCGACTTGTAACTTTAATAACCCATTCGAGACTTAATTCGATAGACTGAATTGACTTGCAACTTCAATTCAGCTTATTAAGACTTGGACTCTATAATGATTGTGAAATAAATAATGCTATTCACATTGGTTACTTGTGGAAATTGTGGAAAGAATTAGACTTAATTGTTACTTGTTGAGATTGTAGTAAAGAATAAGACTTAATTTTTGATTATTTTATATAGTTATTTATATGCTTATGACAAGTAAAATACAAAACTTAACTGAATTTTTCTTGAGATCTATTTTTGAATTCGACTTGTAACTTTAATAAACTCCCATTTGAGACTCAATTTGATGGATGAATTGACTTGCAACTTCGATTCAGCTTATTAAAACTTGAATTCTATAATGATTGAGAAATCAAATATTGCTATTCATATTGGTTACTTGTGAAGATTGTGCTAAAGAATGAGACTTATGGCCAGTTACTAGTATTACGAAAAATAACATAACAAAGTTAACAATTATACTTTTTTTTTGTATAATATTATAATAGCTTATCCTGTAATTAAGTATTGATCGAAGTAATTACTATATTATACTTTGTCGATCATTACAATAGTTTATAGAATTAGCTTATACTTTACATTATGTATAATAGCTAATTAGAGTTTAATAGACAATGTAAATAGAGGGTTGTTAAATACTGGTTAGTTTAGTTTTTGTGAGTTATAGATTTTTGTGTTAGTATTTTGGAAGGTTCCTTAGTGTACCGGGTATACTGTTTTGAAGATACTTACTTATATTGGATATATTATTAGTACATTTTAGTGCTTTGTGTGTGATAATAAATACTTGGTTCTCTATTTTAATACTAATGACCCTGAGCTAAATTAAGAGTGCAGGTATAAAGTCTTTCTCTAGTCATAATACCAGCATTGACTCAAAATCTATTACAGATATTAATGTCTATGAAATTACATGATTTGTTCAATAAATGATCATCTCTTTAATATTATCACCTTTAACTGAATCGCTTTTCATTACATCACTTCAATTTTAATAATTTGCTGTATAGTGATATACTGCTCAATTAGGGCTCTATGAGTTATTAAAGATACGCCTATTTACCGAATATTTAATATTATCATCCCGTATACTGTTAGTTATAAATTGGCTTACCTTTATATCTTATTATTTGCATTCTAAGTAACGGTTACAATATGAAGCATAATATTCCCTAAAATTGCATATTGCCAAAAAATTTATAATTGATAAGTATTAATTACAATTGTGAGTTAATTGCAATTAATTACCCCACAATCACTTATTTTGTAAGCCTGCCTATTGCAGTCTGAAAAACTTCTGGTCATTATAGCAAAAAAAAATTATAGTCCATTACAATTATGATAAGTTTTTAGCATTAGGCCACACAAAGTTGATTTTTCATTTTGCATTACCTGCCGACCAATTTCTTTCAAATTTTTAATTTTTTTTTTTAAGCTCCAATTATGCCAATTATTCCATTTTTGCTATTTAAATTTTTTTTATAACTTAATCTGATATCACTCGATAGTGATCTAATTTTTTTGAAATGATCTGATAGAACTGATAGAAAAAAATTCGACTATTAGCCCAATTTATTGATTCTATGTTATACAAAGTGAAAAGCTAACTTTGTGCAGCCTTAGATGTGAGCATGAGCCCATTATTTCACTGTAGATTTTTTAAAAAAAAATCTGATCAACCAATCAGGAATTTTGAAATCTATGTAATACAAAATAAAAAATCAACTTTGCATGGCCTTATATATGCACTTTTTAAGTCTAATTTCAAGTTTGCTTTTTATTCTTACATGAAAATGTTTTCCCTTTCCTGAATTCACACAACTATATTGTGCAGCTACTTAAATGATAAAAAATCGCAATATTAAAAATTTATATAATACTAGAAATATGTTTGACCTTATTGAATAATCGCTTATATATCATATATCCCAATTATGCAACAACATATATATTTACTAAATGAAATATGCTTTAGCTCCCTTTAAGCAACTTGAATGTCTAGTTATTATATTAGATATCTTGTGCATCTATTTTATATAGTTAGCCATACTCTTTAGAAGCCTCTCGCAATGCAATTTTCTATTCTGTTTTTGTAATTCCAAGTAAATCGAGTTGTTTATCAGTTAATTTACATATCTATTTAACTTGAATAGCTTGGTCTTAGAATTTCGATAAACAAGCTAAAATTTTACCATTTGTATTCTTAGCTTTGTCTATTTTTGTTAAAAATTTATCAAGTTTAGGAGCAGATTTTAAATAAGTTGCTGATGATTCTCATGACATCAAATTATTTGTTGAAGCATATAAAGGTTGTAGATTAGAAAAAATCAAAAGTGGCATGAAATAGGGTTGTGAAGAAATATTAGGCAATAATTGAGAAGATAGTGTATATAAAGGTAGTATTTGTAAAGGAATATTTGGCAGCATTTGTAAGGAAATATTTGGCAGCATTTGTAAGAGAATATTTGACGATATTTGTAAGAGAACATTTGGCGACATTTGTGAGAAAACATTCAATGAATTTTAAAAAAAATTATTTAATAGTTGTGATGAAAAATTATTTGTTTGTAAAGGTATTTGTGAAGTTACTTGTAAGGGTACTTGCGGAAGTGATTGTGGAAGTGGTTGTGACGACAATTGTGATGGTATTTGTGATAGCAATTGCAATGATGAATTAACTAATAATTGTAGACAATTAGATAATGCATGATTCGAACTAGGCATCCCTCTTGTTTTAGGTGGCAAAGTAAATATTGCATGACTTGGTGGCATGTTAATATCTGCTAATCTGTTCATCTATAATCAAAAATTTTATAATTTTAACATAATTTATACTCTAGGTGATATAAAGAAATAGCAATAGCAGTAAGTATAAGGATGCTTTCAAGGCAATTCTTGAATGTGTGCTAGGTTTGTGGTGCAGATTGCCTGGACACAAATCAGATTTCATGATTAGGTGCAATGTGACACAAACAGAAAATTTAAAATAAACATTGATTTTGTCAAAAATCGCTTATCTCTTAAAAATTTACATATCAAACTACTCTTCTTGCACTAACAAAAAGTTTTTCTTGAGTAATATTTCTTTAAATTTTCTAACCTCTAACTACAATAAAAGCCTAATCTTAACATAAACAAACTTTGAAGAATTTTAACTGCACTACAAACCTAGCACATATTCAAGAATAGCTTGTAGTCTTGTATATGAACTAATTTACTAGCTGATTATTTTGAGAAAAATACTTGAGAACACCCAAAATGAATATAAAAATTATAATTCTTACGATTGCTCGAGCTCATGTTGTATAATGCATACCTGTTAATTTAATATGACCAGTTTGAGTAATCTAACAAGAACCTTCACAACTAGCATAAAAATATTTTTTACAGATTTGTGCAATAGTAGATGCCATAATATGTCTCTCATCATCAAGATAGGATTCTTTAGGTTTTTTACTAAATAATCGTGGCTTTTTTTTATTTGAATTATTGTCATTGCTATTAGATTCATCGGGTCTCTAGAATAATAAAATAATTAATAAATTAAATAAGAAAAAGAAAATTTTTAAAAAAATAATAAATTAACCTACTAATTTGCATAATCGTTTTTTTGTATTACTTTTATTTCACATTTGAATATTAATAAACATTTCCTTTTCTTTATTAGTAGCTTGATTATAATCATTAATAAAACTTTCAAAATCACTTTCATTAATAATTTGAGTTCCAACCCCAGTTTCTTTTGTCACTTTATATGCCAAGACATAATCATTTTGAGTAATAGCAATATTATTTAGTTGGGATTGAATATCAGAAAGTATTTGATTATGAAATTTATTGCAAGAATCTGCTAAAATAGTTGACCATTTAGCAGGTAACGTAATATTATCCTCAGTTTTAATACTTAGTTTGAGTAAAAATTCTTTGCTTTGATATTTACTATTTTCATTATCTAGCTCGTCTAACTGTTCGTCATAACTATAAGTATCCAATTCTTCTAAATTTTCCAATAAAAGATCTTTTATTTTGTCGCATACTGTATTGGTATCAAAAGTAGTATAATTATCAATGGGTTTTAGCTTCAGATGTGTTGATAATATGCTTATTTGTGTTAAAAGTTGTATGATTATTGTCAGTTTCTGATATGTTGGTAATATGGGGTGTCTTCAATTAAAAGGGCCCATTTTTACATTTATCTCATTTCGAGATAATTGAGTTTAAACA